TAGACCGAACTTTATTCGTTATTATTTTTTTTAAATATCTTACCATAATAAATTTAAACTTTTATCAAAAATAAATTTAATGTCACAAATGCAAAGAAACTTTGAAAACAAAATAAATTCATTCTAACAAATTTGAAAATTTATTTTAAACATTTGAAGATATCAAACAGTTACCAAGCTCATAGGTGCTTTGAAGCAAGGAAAATTTAGATCAGAGCAGACGTGGACCCCTAAAACATCGGAAGTGGAACAAGTGTCATGATGTAGAAAGAATCCACTGTTGACTGGACTTACTCGCCGTGTGCTCCTTATCCTGATCAATTTTTTTGGAAAAGAAAAAAACATTATTCTAAGTTAGACTTGATGATTGATAGTTATTTATGTTGATAAGGTCATATTGTGTCAGTCATAGATTTTGCAAAATGTCGAGGACTTTGACGGCGTTGATATATCTAAATTTGAATTGAACACTAATCTTTAAAAGACCTTATTTTCTCAAAGATTGATTGATTGTATATTGTTTAACGTCCCACTCGAGAATTTTTCACTCATATGGACACGTCACCGTTTGCCGGTGAAGGGCTTCAAATTTAGGCCTATACTTGGCACTCAGGGTCATTGGGTTCTTTAACGTGCCAACGCCCACCGTGATACGGGACCTACGTTTTTAAGGTCATATCCGAAAGACCCGTGACTTTCACTTCTAGTGCCGAGCGCTTGGCGAAGGAACACTCACTGCCTATGTTATCGTCCTATATAGGTTAGACGCGGTGCCGCGAACGAGAATCGAACCCGGGCCTCCCGATCACGAAGCGAACGCTCTACTACTAGGCAACCGTGACCGGTTTATTTTCTCAAAGAATATCTTTTAATATTTATATTTGCTTTTTTTTTACATAACCAGAATTAATTTGAAAATATTTTTCTAAATATAAACTGAATTGAAGACGAAATGTGTTCAATTCTGTATGAACTTATTAGGGGGCGAAGATCATAGATCGACCAAATCACAACGAGATGATCTTGTTTACAAAGGACAAGATAGACTAAGACCCCTTTTTGGCCTCCGATTTTGAGAGTCTTTCAGAATGATGCAACAATTTATCCATAAAAACCTGATGTCACACCTGCCACGTAATGAGTATTGGTTCTAAGTTCTGGAATACACAGAGGCCCAGAGAGGTCAAATGATAGGTCAGTGTTTGAATTTTCTCATTTTTACGCAAATTTTCAACGATTTTTCGGCACATTTTGTTCTGGAAAACATAGAGCACAAGCTTGCCTATCTAACAAATTTATATATATTAAGCACTATTATCAGATGCAGTTTATTTGTAAAAATCTCAGAAAGGCAAGCTTGCGCTCTATGTTTTGCGAAGAGAAAAGTATCTCAATGATGAAATTCCACCAGAATAGAGGAAATTCAGGAAAATGTCCTACTTATGCAATATATAGTAACTTTCCTGTAAGCTTTGAATCCAAATTAGTGTTGGTTTAAAACAAGCATCATTTTCAGTTTTTAACTACAAACTATCACAATTTTACCAGACGATTGTTTTTATTTTTACATCAAATAAGTGGCCAGATTCGGCCGTTACACGACCTTGTCCTTTCTGTCAAGTTGTCGTTGAAACTAGTTTCAGAAATTCTATCTGATAGCAATGAAAAGATAATATAATTAACTCTCTTGTGCATTTTATTCCTTCAGTAGATGTTCACTAGATCTTGCTTTGGTGTCAAGAATGTTTTGAATTATAATATACTTTAAGTTTTCCTAAAATCGCGCTTATTTTGTGATCCAAAATTCCTTTGATGGTATGCAAAATGAATCAAGGGATATCTTTTGACGTCACATAGTAAAGAACTAAAAAAATATAAAGATTATTCTTAGTTGCAATCATATGCTCTATCAGTATAAACAGTGATTTCAGTGTAAATACTCAGAAGTTGGAGCGAGGCGAACATTCAAGACCAAGCAATTTTTAGGTTATTTCGCGACATAACATAGCAATACAGCGGCTCCTTCGGGTAATACATGCAGTACTATGCGGAATTTCGTCTCAAATGTAAATATAAGTAATAAAAACAATGTTTAAAACTTCACTGGGAAATGAACTTGGTTGGTACGTGATCAAATCTACCGAGGAGGCCTTCTGGCTCCACAGGCTTTCATCAAGTGACCAATCAAATTCATTTTCTTTTTCTCGCTTTAGTATGAGTTACTTTACCATGAAAGACAATACATGTATAAATATTACGATATAGTGCAGCGAGAAATTCAAACAATGAGTATATATTTTGGTCCTTTTAAACAGAATCATTGGTGAATAATCACACACATGTAGACTTGCACGTAAGCATATCTTTCATGAAGCGCTGGTGTGAGTAGAAGTCTACATGACAAATCTGTGCAATTTACACACCAACAACTCATAAAAAAAATTAAAAACATTTCTGCAATAAATTTTGTTTCAACTGCAATTTAACGTCTTTAAAAATTTCAAAGGATTGTTGAAAGACTTGTTCTCCAAAACATTATACAAAGACAATGCCAGTAAAAAACTAAGGCATACTTTTTTTATATCAACCTCGAAGTTCTTGTATATTACATCAGTTTGCAAATGATGAGCTAAGTCACTTTCCGAACTTCAGTTTTATTGAAGAAGCAGATTTAAAGAGCCATCACGGAAAGCTGCTTCTTCAATGAAAACATAACTCTCGTCTTCGTTTTATGTTGGGGAAAGATTTATAAAGTGTTTGTTTTTGTGATTTTAAAATTTCTAATAGTTCTTGGGATTTTTTAAAATAAACATATCGGAATACGACATAGCACAATATTACTGATGATTTACCTTCACTGCTGTATGTCAGTGTCTGTGAGTTCTAAGCAAAAAAGGCCTCGTACATGGTTTACGGGATAATGAAATCTATCTAGTTCCTCTTTTGATTAAAAAAATTGAGGAAAATGATTCTTATAAAATGTGTATGTTTGTCTTCAACTCTTTCATGAAAATTAACATTAAACATTTTCTACAACAAATTGATTCTTTACATCAATCTTCGCTTATCTCTCTTTGTTTACTTTAAAATAGCTAAATTATAAAGTACTTGAGAATATTTTAGATTACTGTTATAACTTAGGATGTGTTTCCGAGACTTCTTTTTTTATTTTTTTTTTTTACTTATTTTACATGTACATCAATTTTTTTTACCTCAACTGAAATTCTATGCAATTTTAATACAGCTGCACATATGTAAGGACAATGCACAACTAGTAAATGAATACTTATTCTATATCTTTGTTATAACTTTCAGCTTTCATTAAATTTTAACTTAACACAGAAATGTTGACAATCTAGATTTATTCTGCAATACATGTATATTGATATTTTGTGTGTAATAGTTCTATTTCTTTCACTCATATTAAAAATTTTCTTCAAAGCACTCAAGCTAAAATTTCTATTTAATGTTAAGCACGATGTTTATATATTTTTGGAATATACTAATGAGATAATTTTTTTGTGGACCGAATTTAATTTATCAACAACAAATGAATTTTTAATAGAGGGCATTAATAGACTTAAGGCTTTTCCAACATCCCGTAATATCATAGGTTTTTTGGTAAAAATTGTTATTAATGTTCATACCAATTAGAAAAAATATGAATGTTTTTCAATAGGGGTGATTTAATTAATGTGAAGTAAAATATAATTATAAAAATAACTTAAGCAAAGCTCGTTACAAAGCAACGAGTAGGTCTTCTGTCCTTTTTGACCAGAATTAAGTTACCATTAATTTAAAAAAGATTTATATATTCTAAATCTATGTCAATAATTGCAAAAGTAAGCCATTTCTGGCTACTTCCGGTTCGACCGGAAATGACATCGATGAACAGAAAATTAGGCTTTATGCTTCCGGTGAAAGCAATCAACCAAAAATGTGTCAATAATGACAAAAATATGCATTTTTGACTTCTTCAGGGTTTGGCCCTTTCGGTTTGACCGGAAGTGACGTAATTAGACCACTTTGATGATCTCACTAGCTGCCACTCAATATTTTGAACAACTTTGCTTCAATGATATATTACAATTTTTTTCATGGTTATTGAAATATTAAGAAAAAAAATTTCAGCCGCTCTAAATCCCTTAGCGTGCGCCGACGCGCGGCATTTCCGGGAAAATGATATGCGTTACGCATATCCACAGACATAGGTCTATCATGCCCGAAAGTTTCATGTGTCTATCTAAAGCCATTCAACCTGACCCTTTAAAAAACATAAAATCTGATCAGTAATATCTTAGACCGGAAGTGACGTCATAAAAAAAACCGAATATGGTTCAAGTGATGATACATACGTCATGAAAGTTTCATGAAAATCTATCAGGCTGTTTTCGAGATCGCGTGCACAAAATCGGTAAGAAAAAAAAAACAATAATAAAAGTGAAAAAAACCCTAAGAATAACAGAAAGGTCTTCCGCTGAAGACGAAAGACTGTAAAAATATATTTTTTTCTTTATTCATTCAATTATTAAAATTGTTGTCAAGGGCAATAACTTCTCACGAATATCTTATTGCATTTTCCTTATTGTACATCATCGTGTAAAATGTTTTTTTCTGATTTTTACAATTCTTTATTTTATAAAGTAGCAATTACATGCATTATGGATCTATTGGCATTAGAAGCATGCATTTTAACAAGTTTTACCTAACGTTCATAATACTGTTTACAAAAAAGAAAACAAATAATGCTGACGTAAGCTTTTGTTTAAAATTGTCTTACTTCTAATAAAAATATGGCAACCTATACATTTTTTGCTACTTTTAGTTAATTTTAATTATATTCAGTGAAAATAAATGCAGTTTTTCTACTTTGAACCCATAAAACTGCGAGGCCAGATTTACCTTATAGAAAATCAAAAGTATATACAATGTATAAGTTGTATTCTCTTGATATCAATAAAAATAAAAATAAAAAACATCTTGGAAATATTTTATTACTATTATTTAGAGCAAACAGCGCACACGAGTTCCCTCCCCTCAACGTATGGCGGGCATTTCAAGGACCCACATCGAGCCTCGACATGATAAAAACAGTAGCCATTTTTGTTAAGACGACCGCCGTGTAAGATGTCTGGATTTTTGTCTACACACTTATATGCTGTTGCTGCTGCTTGATTATAACGCCCAGACATAAGATAACCCTCATACTCCAAATTCCACCCTTTGTAGCATGTTCTTCTTCCTAAAATGTTTACAATAAGGGCAGTTCTTAGAATAAAAGGAATTGGAAGTGGATCTTTGTAATAAAAAATATTGTAAAAAACTCTTAAGTATGCTCAGATTATGCTTAATATTAAGCATGGTCTATACCTTTCTTAAGTTCTTAAGCATATTGCATAAGATATTCCAAAGAGCTAATAATCACACACAGTGACACACACACCCTCCCTAACACCCTCTCACCCTCACACACACACACCCTCACACACACACACACACCCTCACATACCCAAAATAAAAGGTATTTTATAAAATTTGAAATAGAAAAACGATATATTGTGATCAAATTGATCAATATATTTAAAACAAGAAGCCCAGGGGCCACATCGCTCACCTGAGCATATCGGCTAGGAAAACACACAAATCAGTTCAGAATTGAAAAATTTACTGAGGGGGTGGGTGGAGGGGGGAGGGGGCTTGAATTCTAATACTACTTGAGAATGTCTCCATATCAATTCCACATATAACTTCTTGAGAAAGTTATGGAGAAAAAGATTTTTATAGTTTTTTTAACATTTTGTTTGTATACATGTATATTACTTTGTAATAATTTGACTCCCCATCATTTCCCTCCCTACCCCAAAGGGTACTCATAATTTGAACAAATTTATTTCTCAATACATGAGGATGCTTACATGTCATTATGACTTAACATAGCTTTTCAGTTATTGAGATTTTCCCCCTTATTTTCCTGTGTAAAACTTTGATCCACCTTTGAGACCCTTCCCTACCCTTGGGGGTTATGACTTAAACAAATTTTATTCAACATTACCTCAAGGATGCTTCCATATAAATATCACTAATCATGGCTTAGCTATTCTTTAGAAAAAGATTTTTAAAATATATTTTAACGTAAAACTTGGATCCCCCATTGTGGCCCCACCCTATCCCTGGGGGTTATGATTTGAACAAACTAGAATCTACAGTATCTGTGGATGCTTCCATAAAATATCGCTAATCATGGCTTTGCAGTACTTGAGAAGAACATTTTTAAAGATTTCCCTATATATCCCTATGTACAACTTTGATCAGCCATTGTGGCCTTATCCTACCCAAGGGGGCAATGATTTGAACAAACTTGAATTTACACTACCTGAGGATCATTTAACACGAGTTTCATCTTTCCTGACGCAATGCGTACTGAGAAAAGGAATTTTAGAGATTTTTCCTATATATTCCAAATCTGTAAAATTTTGATCAGCCATTGTGGCCCCACTCTACTCCCGGGGTCATGATTTGAACAAACTTGATTCTACACTACCTTAGGATGATTCAACATGAGTTTCATCTTTCCTGTCCCAATGGTTCTTGAGAAGAAGACTTGTCAAGATTTTTCCTATATATTTCTATGCTAAAATTTGATCTGCCATTGTGGCCCCACCCTACCCCCCGAGGGTCATGATTTGAACAAACTTGATTCTACACAACCTGAGGATGATTCAACATGAGTTTCATCTTTCCTGTCCCAATGGTTCTTGAGAAGAAGTATTTTAAAGATTTTCCCTATATTTTCCTATGTAAAACTTTGATCGGCCATTTTGGCCCCACCCTTGCCCGGGGGGTCATGATTTGAATAAACTTGAATGTACACTACCAGAGGATAATTCCACATGAGTTTCATCTTTCCTGTCCCTATGGATCTTGAGAACAAGAATTTTAAAGATTTTTCCTATATATTCCATGTCAAACTTTGATCAGCCATTGTGGCCCCACCCTACCCCCGGGGGGTCATGATTTGAACAAACTTGAATGTACACTACCTGAGGATGATTCAACTGAGTTTCATCTTTCCTGTACCAATGGTTCTTGAGAAGAAGAATTTTAAAGATTTTCCCTATAAATTCCTATGTAAAACTTTGATCAGCCATTTTGGCCCCACCCTTGCCCGGGGGGGGGGGGGGTGTCATGATTTGAACAAACTTGAATCTTTACTACTAAAGAATGATTCCACATGAATTTCATCTTTCTTGGCCCAGTGCTTCTTGAGAAGAAGATTTTTTTTAAAAATGCCATTAATTTTTCACTTATTCATAATTATCTCCCCTTGGAAGAGGGCATGGCCAAACTTGAACAAACTTGAATCCCCTTTACATAAGGACACTTCGTGGCAAGTCTGGTTGAAAATGGTCCAGTGGTTCGTGAGACGAAGATGAACATGTGAAAAGTTTACCACGACAACAACGACAACGACGACAGACAACAGACAAATTTTGATCAGAAAAGCTCACTTGAGCCTTCGGCTCAGGTGAGCTAAAAATTATATACTTTTTATCTATTTTTATTATAATATTTATAACAGGAAGGTGATTCCTTAAGAAGGTTAGATCTTGCGCTTTTGAACACATTTTGGTCGGGATCTTCATTTCTAAAAACCTGTATTATTTTCAAGTTTTAATATCAAAGAAGAAGATACAGTTTCAATAAACATTTAGCCCTGTAATTTTCTAAAATATGAAAGTGATATGAGTGATATAAGAAATTAAAATTCATTCTTTCGAAATCATTGGAATTTTATGCAGTAAAAAAACACAAATCGTTTTTCTCATATGCTAATTGTGACGTCATTAACTTATGCATTTTCCGTACTTTCTTAAAAAGTTGCAAAAACATCAATTTTCAGTGGAATTTTCTTTCAGAAAACATTCGCTGCATCGCCCAGAAAGATTTTGAGATATCTGATTTTTCATATTGAAGTTGGCGACGGTGGCAGACACTATTTTCTAAGAAAAATAAGCACAAAAATGAGAATTCTGAGACTTTTTAGCATTAAACTTAGAAATCTACCAAATTAATGATATCATATTTCCAGTATGGCTTCATGCTCCTTCATGCTACATTCTTTAATGATTTATCATATTCATCTACTCAACTCTTGTTAATTCCAATTTCATAACAATCATGTTAAGAACAATAAATTTTTATGGCACAATAAAGCCCAAACCGTATATTCTTCTTTTGATTCAAGAATGCAAACTGAACTATATCCAATTAAACCAGAAGTCTCTGTAGTTCTACTGGTTTATACTTATTTTGTTAACAAAGTAAGAGAAAAGTAGCAGTTGGGACTTGAAACTTTGAAACAGCAATAAGTAGAAAAATGATCCTTGATTAAGTCACTCTTTGTGGCAATATTGCAATTAAACTACAACTGTACGAGTAGATTTTTATAAAAATTTAAAGAATTTTTAATTTTAGTAACCATGGCAACATCATTCATCAAAATAAATTAAAAAACAGTAAAGACAATAATGTATCTTAGTATAGTCTATCTGCATGCCACATTATATTATAATCAAACTAAAATTGTATTTGTAATAGCATTTTAGAATTATTTTACAGAAATTTCTATTTTTAGTTACCACAGCAACACCGTTCATTGAAATCTAAAATTGATAAAGAGAATTAAGTATCTTAGTATAATCTACTTGTGTACCTAGTTATACTGAAATCAGACTTAAACTGTAGGAGAAGAAGCATTTTGAAAGTATTTCATAGATATTTCTATTTTTAGTAACCATGGCAACACCGTTCATTGAAATCAAAAACCGATGCAGAAATTTAGGTATTTTTGTATAGTCTACTTGTGTGCCAAGTTATATTGAAATCAAATCAAAACTGTAGGAGGAGAAGCATTTTGAAAGCATTTCACAGAAATTTCTATTTTCAGTAACAAGGGCAACACCGTTCATCGAAATCAAAAACCGATGCACAGAATTATATATATATATCTTAGTGTAGTCTACTTGTGTTCCAAGTTATATTGAAATCGGACCAAAACTGTACGAGGAGTAGCATTCTGAAAGCATTTCACAGAAATTTCTATTTTTAGTAACCACGGCAACACCGTTCATCAAAATCAGAAACCGATGCACAGAATTATGCATCTTAGTATAGTCTACTTGTTTGACATGTCATATTGAAATCGGACCAAAACTGTGGGAGGAGTAGCATTTTTGTTTACAGACATACAGACAGGCAGACGGACGGACTGACGACGGACGCATTACTATCGCATACATTTTGGTCTCTGACCAGTAGAGCTAAAAAAAACATCATTAAATTCCATTTAAATATGATTAAGCCAGGAACTATACTAGTATTTAGTGGCGGAAGGGTTTTTTTTCAGAAGAAAATGATCTTTTTCCCCCATTTGAAATATATGCCTGTTGCACATAGAGCTGTTTTTTTGCAGTGAAATGTTTTATACTGATTTTGAAACAACTATTATAGCCAATTTAAGCATAACATTAACACCTCTTTCGACATCATATACCCCACTTTTGTTTTTCTTTTCTGGATATATAACCATAAACTTTGATCAATCTGCAAAAAGTTTAAGACTTTAAAATAATTTCCTAGTTTGTTAAATTTTCAATGCAAGAAAAATCACATTTTATGAGTGCAGAACGGTCAAATCATTGATTATGCAAAGTAATTTGAACTTTTTCTTAGTTTGAAGTGTCTTTGTGACATTATTTATTTGGATAAAAATATTAATGGGAAAACGCCGAAGATGTGATTTTAATTTCAGTGCAAAAGGGTCATATTAAATGTACTTTAGCGCCAAAAGAAGCACACTGACCCCGATTTTTCTTTTGATTTTTAATTAAGCTATGTGTGTAGAAACTAAAAACATACTTGATAAAAAAAGTTAAAGACTTTAAATATTAGGATGCAACCTTATTAAATTAATACGAATCATAGTTTTCAAAAGATTATTTCTTCATCATGACACGTGTTTGTTTACATTAAAGTGACTTTATTGACATGGCAACGGTGTACTTTAGTACAATATGCTTAAGAAATTCAAGCATATGGTTTTTCTGTTTTAAATCAAGAGATGTTGTAAATTTGTAAACTTAAAATTTACAACAAGATTTAGATACATGTAAATGTCAATCACAAACACAAACACCCTATTAAATATCAACTTCAGGAAATTCGTATGTACAATCAGAATGTTTATCAAAGAAATAAATGTGATTTGTTGTCATACAGACGATCTGATTTGTTTTGCAAAGGGGGGATCCAAATCGAAACAAATACAGAAAATAACTAAGGTTGTATTAAACATTTTTTTAAATTCGTATGGAAAGAGAATTTTGTAATACTTGGGCATTATCCACAATAAAATGTATTTCCAACAGATTTATCACAAATCAAATAAATAATAATTGCGTAATCATCCGTCGTTTTCAGTAACTGAATTAATATTATTTTTACCTGGAAACAATCTAACTACAGATCTATCTTTTACAAGACAAACAGCACAAGGAACATCATGGTCATGAAGCGAAGCCGAATGACTAACATCAAATGTTTGGTATTCTGCCCCATACACATAACCCTTTTCGCCATCAGTTCCATCCCTGTAGATCCCCCACTCTGGATCTCTAGGTAAACATAATGGATCTGAGGCCGCACCACTGTGATCGTACCATGATCCGCCTGCTAATCCTAAAAGTATAAGAATATAAAATATCTGATATATTTAAAATCACATTTATAATTTATCTAAATTCCTTTTTCCCATCATTTATCTCATTAGCGTACTATTTATGAGACTAAAAGATCATTTCAATGTCAGATACCAAAATTCCATAAAAAATATTTGAAAGTGTGGAGGTTTACCCGAATAAACCAACTGTGCATTGGAAGGACACGTCTTCTTTCCCCATCTTGTGTAAACGATGCTTCTGTTACCTTTCTCTGACATATTGAAAGTTTGATTATGATTTGATCTTCAGTGAAATAAACACTTCTTTTGAAAAATGGGATGATTTTTAAATACCTTGTACAAATTGAAATTATGAATATAAACTCTGATTTTTGTTTTATACCCTCAATCATAGCGCTTGTATTAACTTCTTTCCTGAAATTCTTCATAGATTGCTCCATGGTCTCAGTAAAGCTTTTGAATTCCCGCCTTAAAGCCTCCACTTGATAAGCCCCTAAAGCAGACGACAACTGTCCTGTCATATATCCCTGTAATATGTCCTTACAGCTTTGAACTGTTTCCTTTTCTCCCAGGGTCGTGACAAATGTTAGCAAAAAGAAAATTACAGACAGTATCTTTATCATCTGAAAATAAAACATGCGACCAATTATACGTTTTCTTCCTCTTTCATAAAAAAGCAACAATATGAAATCGTATTTTTCTAATTTCATTCATCATGCTTACTTAACTAATAGTTTTTAAGAAGATACATAAATTTTAAGAAGCATCGTCTTGCCTCTTCTTCGTAAAGAAGAACCCCTCAATATAATATTATAATTTTACAATCTGTAACAACATTGAAGACTTTTTATTAAGAATTTGTTAGAAAAAGGCAATTTCATATACATTTTAAAAATTAAATCTTTTTTAATATTGGAATTGCAAACTTCTACAAATATTTTTAATAGAACACCCTGGACATATACATCCAATTTGCTACAAAAATTTTGAGTTTCCCCCGATTGTTTCACATTCTGAAGATTCTTTCAAACTTAGTTTTTTTTACTTACGTCTCCTGAAAAAGTTTTCCCGAAAAAGCTGAAGAAACTTTAATCAAAATCAGTGGCACAACTGTAACTGGCATATGCATTTTGACCCATGATTGATATATATATCTTAATATCTGTGATTAAAATGTAAATAAACACCATAAACATTGATATTGTAGATAGTATTGCAGAAAATATATGCAACATATTTTTAAACAATCAATTTTTCAAATATGTTACAAAGCATTTCTTCTTGATGACAGAAAGAAATATCATTGCATGAAATCGTAATACAACAAGTTACAACTACATTGTTTAAAACTTTCTTTACATTTGAAAATAAGGAGAACCTTTAAGTTATCGAGTTACTTGCGTTGCGTAGAGGTGACGGCGATTGCTCATGATTATTACTCTAGATGAAAGATGCAGTTCGAATCCACTGTGATACGCAAATTTATGCCTGTCGTTCGGATAAGACCGTATGATTGGAGATGAAATATTGACAGTAGTGAAGGAAAAACTTCAAGGGTACTGTGAAACAATATATTCACAAAGTGGTGTGAATCAGATGTGGATGTTTAAAAATTCTAAACAACTTTTTGGACAATTTGAAATCACAAGATTTTACCAAAATCAACAGCTTAAAAACTTACGACTTTTCAACTTTATACACAACTATTCCCCACGATAAATTAAAGTCCAGGCTTTTTGATATCATTGTATCAGATCCATGTTAAAGTCGCGTATTAAAAGATTTAGGGGCAATATGAAAATCATCTATCCTTCTGTGTTCAATAATCCAGAAGTGAAAAAAGAATTAGATAGATAACAAGATCAGTACGTACTGGTCCCTGCCGACAAAGTAGGTAACAAAATTGTCTTCTGTTGTAAGGCTTATCATATAAATTGTATTTTAGAAGAACTTGGATTTAATTCTACGAGTGGTAATCCTACTGGACTTTTACGAGGAGCGCTGACTTTTACAGTTGACGGCTTACTTTTACACTAGAATAATGTACGGAAACTCTTTTACGATATGAATATATAACTAAACACTTAATTCAACGAAAATAACGGATTATTTCAATGCGCATATAAGTTGTCCTTGAAGAAAACGACAACCACTCTACCCTAAATTCTCATTCTTCGCATGTAAGTGCCCCTGACACAATACCTAAAACCATTAGAAAGGTTTCCTCATCTATTATCAATTCTGTGCTTCCGTACAATACAGGTTTATATGTTCAAATAAACCGTCAACTGTTAAAGTCAGTGCTTCTCGTAAAAGTCCTATACTCATACTTCCCTGTCTAAGGAAGAAATTCTTCAAAATCATATGTCAGTTTTAAACATTTTTAAAATTCCACAGAGCCAAAATGAATTTTTAACAACCCTTTATATACAGTAATGGATTCCAAAAATTCATGAAAATCCTTACAAACAAAGATACATTGCGGGTTCCAGTAAATGTTCAACCAAGCCTCTTCCGTTACTCCTCACTAAAATATTGACAGTAGTGAAGGAAAAACTTCCAGAGTACTGTGCAACAATATATTCAGGAAGTGGTGTGAATCAGATGTGGATAATCAAAAATTCCAAAGAATTTTTGGACAATTTGAAATCACAACATTTTACTAAAATCAACAGCTTAAAAACTAAAAACTTTTCAACTTTACACACAACCATTCCCCACGATAAATTAAAGTCGGGCATTTTGATATCATTGACAGCTGCTTTTTCAATAAAAATGGAACTCGTAAATTTACTTAACTAGTCATTGGTCATTTGCAAAATTATTTTGTTAATACGCATACTGATTGCACACACAAGTACTCTGAAGTTGACATCAAACGATGCTTGAGTTTCTGATTGACAATATCTATGTAGTTTTTGGAGACCAGTTCTTCCAACAATCTGTTGGAATTTCTATGGGAACCAATTGCGCTCCGTTATTAGCATACCTAATTTTTATTCATATCAAGCAGAATTTGTGCAAAATCTTATGCGTGAAAAAAAAAAGAAAACACTTGCTGTGGCCTTCTACTCGACATTTAGATATATCGACGACGTATTGTCAAATAACAATGGTAATTTTCATTCCTATGTCGATACGATACATCATGGTGAGCTTGAGATTAAAGATACCACAGAGTCTGACACATCTGTTTCATACTTGGATATAGACTTTAATAGTAATCTTACAACCAAGCTCTATGATAAACGTGATGACTTTAATTTTTCTATCGTCAACTTCCCTTACTTATTAAGCAGTATATACCTTCATCACCAGCATACGGAGTTTATATCTCTCAGTTGATTCAATACGCAAGAGCATGTTTTACGTATGAACAATTTCTAAAACGATGTAAATTACTGACAAATAAGTTGAGGAAACAAGGATTTGAACAGTTTAGTCATCATGTCGTAAGTTCCTTAGTCGATACAATGACCTTGTCAGCAAATACAATTTATCATTGAGTCAAATGCTGACTGACGTTTTTCATTCCAATTGTTAGACCATTATTTATACAATGAATTGACGACGGATTTTTCCGATCATGACAAGGAGCACACGACGGGTGTGACCGGTCGGCAGGGGATGCTCACTCCTCCATGGCACCTGATTCCACCTCTGATAATTTGGAGGTCCGTGTTTGCTGTGCTCCTATTTTGTATTGTTTTATGGACTTTGATATTGAACACTGTTCTTTATCTCCATATCCTTCATAACAAAAAAAGGTAATAGTATCGACCGTAGAACTTGCAAAATGATAAATTTATGAAAGAAACTGTCGATATCCTTGGTGTATCAACTTGTTGGAAAATAATTTAACACCCCTCTCGAAAATTTTTCACTCATATGAAGATGCCATCACTTGCCGGTTGAGAGCCACAAATTTTGTCCTAAGCTTGGCACTCAGGGCCACTGAGCAGTGAGGGATCTTTTTCGTTCAAGCACCTACCGCGACAAGGGACCTCGGTTTATTCGGTCTCATCCGATAAAACCGGTCTCCACGTCCCACACTTGGATTCAAACCCGCCACGTAAGGATCGATTCTAGAGCAGACCCTCTAACCACTGCGCCACGTGGGCGACTGAGGTTTTGTTAAATTATAATACGTCGTCGATTTGTTTTAATGTTGAGTTGAAGGCAAAACAAATGTTTACTTTTTATTCAGAAGTTTTGAATTAATTCTGCTTCATATGAGTACAAAAAAGGTCTGCCAATAACGGGGCACTATTGGTACACATGGCAACTCCAACAATTGTTGGCAGACCATCTCAAAACTACATAGGTATTGTCTTTAAAAAAAAACTTAAGCAACTTTTTAATATTAGCTTCATGGCATTTGTGTGTGCAATCAGAATATTTTATTTAGGGATGTCAACGAAAATTCGCATATTCATTCCATGAGTTGATATTCGATTTGTATAATCAATTTGCATTTACAAAACTCTACGTGAAATTTTATTCCAAAATAATGACATAAAACGTATACTGGTTGACAGGAAAGTGAAAATATATATTCTGTAATGCAAAATGTATTTATTTTATCCAATATTTGAATACTCCCACCGAATATTCGAATATCAATTACAATGTATTGACAATTTTGACATCCCTAGTTTTATTACAACATTATTACAACAAATTGCAAAGGACCAATGACAAGGTACATGTAAGTAAATTCAAGTGATGCATTTTTATTTTTTTAAGCTGTCTATGATGTCAAAAGGGTAAATAAATCGAGGGGAATAGTTGTAAAAAATGTTCGAAAAGTCGGACGTTTTGATGCTATGAAGTATATGCATTTTTTAATTTTTAAGTACGTTTGTTTTCATTTTTTGAATCTTACAAACCTATTGATCTACACTGAGTCGGAGAGTCATATGGCAACAAATTACACACTATTTTAAGGGGTGTCCAATTGCAATTGAAAACTATAAAAGTACGTTTTGAAACCTACACGCTTGTGTAATATTTTTCTTTAATTTGACCCTTCAGATGAGACCTTTTAAACCTAGGTCCTGTGTCATGGCAGGCGATCACACGATAAAGATCCCTCTCTGTTCTGTTACAACGCCAAATATAATAACGCAAAATGTAATAAATCGGTATTATTACATTTTGTGTTATTACATTTTGCGTCGAAATCAACGCAAAATGTAATAACGCAAAATGTAATAATCCCACTTTATTACATTTTGCGTTGTTACTACATTTCGCGTTAAAAAACACTGCGCAATGGCCGTTAGTGCCGAGTCAAGGCCTTTTACGGGTATATGCTGACGTCTCCATATGAGTGAAATCCTCGATTATAGTGTCAAACAACATACATGTACAATCAACCAATCAATCATCCTATCAGTATCATCATTTCTTGTAATTATCATAGATAGGTGCATGTGGCGTAAAGAATACATGTATCATATCTCATTAGAGTACAATTTTCACTACATCAGTAAATTCTGCCTTGCACAACCCAGTGGTCAAAAACTTCACAAACCTTCTGAAAAAAAAATTACTTATCACAACTCTGTACCCTGTTTGTTTCTTAGATTACCAAGAGCAGAGCAGAATTTCAAAGCA